GGCAAAGCAGTCCATGTTTGGCACTTCTTTCTAAAATCAATTTTTCAAAACGATTTGCCAGATTTGGACTCTTTGGTGATTTATCAATCTCGTATTGCACTTTGCGAGATCAGATTGAGAACCGTGACATTTGAGTCCGAACTGTAGTGAGCCCAATGAACAAAACGGGATTTTCCTGGGACGTTCGAGGACGTCTACACCGGGCCATCAGTGCCATACTGTTAAAGGAAGAAATTGGGGAGCAGCGGCCAATGTATTATGTGAGCAAAGCAATGGTTGATGCCGAAACACGTTACCTTCCACTGGAAAAACATGTCCTTACTCTCGTCATGGGGGCAAGAAAACTGATGCATTACTTTCAAGGGCATACCATTGGAGTACTAACGGACTACCCCCTCCAGCCAGTACTCCGTAGTGCAGAAGCATCAGGGCGCATTTCAAAATGGGCTCTCGAACTCGGCCAGTACGATATTCAATTTCTGCCCAGAACCTCAATCAAGGGGCAAGTGCACGCCGACTTTGTGGCCCCGAACTGTAGTGAGCCCAATGAACAAAACGGGATTTTCCCAGGACGTTCGGGGACGTCTACATTGGGCCATCAGTGCCATACTGTTAAAGGAAGAACTTGGGGAGCAGCGGCCAATGTGTTATGTGAGCAAAGCAATGGTTGATGCCGAAACACGTTACCTTCCATTGGAAAAACATGTCCTTACTCTCGTCATGGGGGCAAGAAAACTGATGCATTACTTTCAAGGGCATACCATTGGAGTACTAACGGACTACCCCCTTCGGTCAGTGCTCCGTAGCGCAAAAGCATTAGGACGCGTTTCAAAATGGGCCCTGGAACTCGGCCAGTATGATATTCAATTTTTACCAAGGACCTCAACCAAGGGGCAAGTGCTTGCCGACTTTGTGGCCGAATTCACTGGAGGCCTCGCCGACTTTAAGTCTGATCAAATTCAACCTAAGCCGAACTAGAGAATTTATGTTGGGGACATTTGGCAGTTGTACTGTGATGGGTCATCCAATCAACGTGGCAGTGGGGTAGGCGTAGTGATCATGGCTCCCGACGGGGCAATAATTGAGCAGGCAGTCAAACTCGACTTTGAAGTATCAAACAATGAGGCCGAATACGAAGCCCTGCTAAACCAGCTTACGGTATGCACATCTCCTAGGTGCTCGGCGTCTGCTTATCTTTTGCGACTCAAAATTAATCATCAATCAATTAAAGGGGGAATACGCGGCTAAAAATGACCGTATGGCAGCTTACATGAAAACAGCGAATTCCTTGCTGGCAAAATTTGACCATCATGAATTGAACCGAATAACCCGAGATCAGAACACACATGCAGACGCCCTGGCTTGCCTAGCTTCCGCCATTAACTCTGAGATTAAATGGACAATTGAAGTGGGATTCATCCCTAAGCCGAGCATTGGCCCTTCAGAGTTAGCCCAGATCAATGTCATAGAATCAGGTCCGAGTTAGATGGACTCTATCACTACCTTCCTATCTTCCGAATAGCTCCCAACGGATAAGAAAGAAGCACACAAGCTGCAAAACAAAGCCTTGCGATACTACTTCAATCCACAAGGAAAGCTCTACAAGAAATCCCTTTTCTAGTCCATACCTAGAGTGCGTTCATCCGGATAAAGTGGAGGGACTCCTGACTGAAATACATGAAGGTAGTTGTGGTGCCCATTCTGGCGGGCGCTCTTTGGCTCATCGAGCTGTGACATAGGGGGTATTATTTGCTGACAATGAGAGCTGATGCCTAGTGTTACGTCAAGAAATGTGAACAGTGCCAGAAGTTTTCACCTTTAACCCATTTGCCTGCTGAAGAGTTGAGCTCTATAACCAGTCCTTGGTCGTTCACCCAATGGGGACTTGACATCGTCGGAGCATTACCTCGTGCCCTGGGCAACAAGCAATTTTTGATTGTCGCGACAGATTACTTCACAAAGTGGGTCGAAGCGGAGGCACTAACGCATATTCGAGACACTGATGTGAAACGTTTTGCATGGAGAAATATCATAACACGATTCGGCATTCGTTCCAAGGGCACTTATCTTGGACAACGACACCCAATTTGATTGCAGCGTCTACCGAGAATTGTGCAGCAAGTATGGTATTCGGCCCTATTTCTCCACCTCGGCTTATCCACAGAGCAATGGTCAAGCCGAAGCCTCCAACAAAGCCATTTTGGACGGCATCAAGAAATGGTTGGAGAAAGCTAAAGGCAGGTGGGTTGAAGAGCTCCCCAGTGTGTCGTGGGCCCATCGCACTACACCAAGGCGGTCCACTAGAGAAATGTCTTTCGCCCTGTGCTTTGGAACTCTGGCAATTATCCCCATGGAAATCGGCTTACCTACTCTGAAAACGAAGGTGTTCGATTTGGGCCGTAATAACATGATGCTAGCTTTGGATCTAACTCTGATTGAAGAACGACGAGACTGAGCACTCGCATCTATGGCACAGTATCAGTAATAGCTCGCTAAATCATATAATCAACATTTGCAGCTGCGATGTTATGTTCGTGGAGAATTGGTCCTGAAGAAAGTTCTTCCCGCTACTAGGAACCCCGCCGACGGAAAGCTAGGTCCCAACTGGGATGGCCCTTATCAGATTGAGTCCATCGCCGACATAGGGGCATATCGGCTCAAAGATATGTCAGGGAGAAGTCTGCCACGTCCTTGGAACTCCACACATTTGCATAAATTCTATCATTAACCCGATTTATGGGGCATGATCCTTGTTTTGAATGTTCGCCATGTACAAATTTCACTTTTACAATGCAAAGTTTCTTATTTCTTCACTGTGAAATTCAGTTCATCAAGTTATAAGCCTTCGGATTCGGAGCGCCCTTCATGGATATCATGATTGGCCAAGATAAAAAGCCTCTGAATTTGGAGCGCCATTAGTGAAACTTTTGGGCCGAATAAGCCTCTGGATTCAGAGCGCCCTTCGTGGATATCACGATTGGCTAAGAAAAAAGCCTCCAAATTTGGAGCCCCATCAGTGAATAACACTTTTGGGCCGAATAATCCTCCCGATTCGGAGCACCCTTCGTGGATACCACGGTTGGCCAAGATGAAAGCCTCGAATTCGGTGCATTTTTTGTGAATACTATGATTAAAAAGCACAAACATAGTTGGCGAAAAATGAAGATGATCAAAACAGAATGTATAAATATGAATTGAAACAACATGCAAACATTTAAAAATAAGATGTTTCATTGAATTAATCGTTAAATACATAATTCGCTTCCAATCTACGTTAGAGCGTTGCAATGTCTAGTTTAACTCAGCATCTCTTTCATCATCACTCTTCTCAACTTCGAAGGCTGCAAAGGGAAAATGATGACCCTGATATAGCGGCGACACCGAATCAATGCCTGTTACCCGGAGAGCCTTTGTGGCCTGGAGTGCCTTGATATATCCGTGCTTGAATCCACAGTCCTGGCATCAGCAGACCACCTCGGTGAGGTTTTCCTAAGTTTTCTATATCCCAACTTTTCGGCCCTCATGGAAGCCTTTTTTACAAGCCCTGGTCCTTGCGGCCTCTATTGCAAACATGCTCATCGTATCTCGATCGGCAATCGCATGACTTATGAGCCGTTGGGTCACCCTCTCTTCCACAATCGGGTTAACTTGTTCGGCCGATTGTGTCTCGGCGGTATTGACTTTTCTGAGTTCGCGCTCAGCCTTCTCCACGCGAGCTTCTAAGCTTCGGATACATTCATCCTTCTGCTCTATCTCTCGCCACGCAGCACGAAGACACATGCCGATCTCATAGGCGGTACACAATCCTTTCACCGCTCCATGGATGCCCTCTTAAAACACTTCGAAGTCAGGTCGACCGACCATCGACTGCTGGACTTCTGGTGGAAAAATTTGTTGAGCAAACTCGACTGCCACGTTTGGGTCACGCACAACCGAGTTCACTTTCGTCATAGGTTTGTCCCCTACAAAAATCACAAAACTTAATGGGCGCGGTGCTGCACTGGTTTCTCCCCTCGAGCATGGTGGAGGAGAGCTGCCCTGTTGCTGTTTTTCCCTTCTGGGTGACCTACTTCGACGACGTGGGGACCAGCATTTTTCACGATCCCTCAACGTCCTACTCCCCATACGCATAGACTCGCCACCTCGATTCATCTCTACGTCCAACTCCACAAGCGTTCTCCCTTCTCCTTTGCTGTTGAAAAATAGCCTTCTAGACATCTGGTTCAAACCCAACACTCTTCTTCCTCTAGTGATCTACCAAATTTGGACACTAATACGAACCCCAAACAAGCGCAGCCCCCACCCATACTACTAATCGAGGGCGCAGTGTTCCCAAACCGTTCCCTTTAATGCACTGCGCCACAACCTGACGTGGGTCAGCATTCTAGTTCATTAATGCGGCGGCCGTGTTCATTAACTTGCTGGAGCAAGATTCATTAATCTATTCGGCGTAACTATTAGAGCTCAGCCGAATTTCCATTGTGCCCCAGCGAACTCCTGAACTGCCGTTCTTTGGTAGTCTTGTTCATTACCTTTTTGAGGCAAGGACAGATTCACTAATCTATTCGGCGTAACTATCAGAGCTTAGCCAAATTGCGATTGTGCCCCAGCAAACTCCTGAACTACCCTTTTTTGGCATTCTTGTGTCATTAACTTGCTGGGGCAAGGGCATATTCACTAATATATTCGGCTAAGTTGCAGCGCTTTACAGTTATGTTTAATTCAGCAGTTTGTTCTTTTCATTTCATGATTTTACATCTTACTCAGTTGTTAACAAGCACATGCATCAGGCAGAAAGGCAAAAATAATTTTCATTCATAAACTGAGCACAAATAGCAAAAATAATTTTCATTCATAAACTGAGCATAAATAGAGTTCATTTTACAAATGAAAACTACCCTACATTAGCTTCTAACAAAAATGAACAGTCAAAAACCTAATAAATTTAACAAAACCTACATACACACAATACTAAAAACAAAATGAAAAATGTTCAATTGTCAGTCTTCGGGGTTAGATGCCAGCGGCTCAACGTCTACCTGCTCGTACAGAATCGGCTGCTCCGATACCACGTTAGCGGCAGCCAAGGCTTTGAACCAGCCCTGTTTGAACTCCCTGTTTTCAAACTTCGGCACTTCTTCTGCGTAGTCAGCCAAGGCCGCATCTTTGCCAGCCTGGAACGACTTGGAAATTTTCGACTCGGCGTTTGCCATCGCCCTCCTTGACTCCTCCAAGTCAGCCTCCAACTTGCCAATTGTCTCGTTGGCCAATTTGAGTGCTTCTTCACTAGCACCCGTCCTCTCTTCGGCGGCCAATCTCAGTCTATCAGTAGCCTTGGCCTTATCTTCTTTGGCATTGGCCCTCGCTCTCTCTACCGCCACTTTAATGGCCTCAGATTCGGCCTTGAGAGAGGCCTCTGCTGCCTTTCCCTTCTCGTTCTTCATTTCGGCAGTGAGAAGGCCGATCTGCTTGATAGCATCATATTGGCGACGACCAATCTCAGCTATCCTTCCCGCCACCTACAAGGCAAGAAATCGATAAGCCAATATAAAATTTTCTTTTCATTTGCAAAATTACAAAGATCTGTTGACACCCCATTTTTGACCGACCTAAAGACTCAGATGTCACCAATTGAGCGCTCGGTGATAGTGCATATTGCGTTCGTTCTGAGGTTGCGGAGTCTCGGCTGCGAGCCTTGCCTCCGAACTTCCAGGCTCTTTTGTACTTTGCCTCAGTTTGCGAACTAGGTCCTGTTTTCTCTGTTTTCCCTTCCCAAAGCGAGAGAGAGGTCTCGTAGACCATCTCTCAGTGACCGTAGGATATGTTTCGTAGTCGTAGGCCATTTTTCCCGTTTGGAGACCAGTTTTGGATTTTCGGAGCTATCGGTCGTGCGCCTCGGTTCGGGACCGCTTGACTACGTCTGTTTGCTCTGATTTTTGGCACACACCTTATTCCCTCTCTTTAGAGGGACACTATGGCCCGGGAGACCACCTTCGTGGTCGTACGCCACCTCCGGTGCTTAACAGCCTATTTTCGGGGCCCCGGACCGTGTGTTTTGGCCCCCGAACCCTCGTTTTGCATCGGTTAGGTTTCATTTTTGGCAGGGACCCTATTTTCATTGCTAGGGAGGTGGTAGTATGGTGGGAGGCCACCTTTTTCCCTTGGAAACCAGTTTTCTCTTTTTCTCTCTCCTAAAGTCGATTTTTCTTACAGAAAGCTGGTTTATCTCACTTTTGAGCCACAATTTTTGGCTTTTCATACCACCATTGTGTTGTGCTCATCTGGGAGGCCACCAATATGGGTAGGCCAACCAGTAATTCTTCTTGACCCTTTTGAACCTTGCTAAAAAGCTGGTTTTTCTCTCTCCTAGGTCACTTTTTCTGGTTTTCCACCATACAGCTGTGATGCACTTATCTGGGAGGCCACCTTTCTGGGGTGGCCGGCCAGCATTTCTCCTTAAACATTTTGACCCCTGGTCGGCCGACCAGGGGGAGTGGCTGGCCGGCCACTTGAACTGGTCGGCCTGCTTCTTGCTTTTTGCTCTCTCTGAATGCATCACAGCTGTGCCAGCTGGGAGGCATTTGGACCATCCTCCATACACCTGCATGGAGGATATTTGAGGCTTCCAAGAGAAGCTTTAGAGCCTCTCCTCTATAAAGGAGAGGCTTGTCTTCATTTGCAAGGGTTCAACAATTTTTGCTAAGGCATATACACTCCACCCACCATAGCTCTCTTCTTCAAGCTCCAAACCCTAATATTCTCACACCATTTGCACTACACCTCATAGCCTACCACCTCCACCATCCATTCAAGCATCTTGGAGCTGATTTTTAGAGGTTGAAAAACTCCTTTCTTGGTCCAGAATTTGCTGGAAACCTGCTCTTCAAGGCTAAGTCTCCATTTTCCCTTTTCTTGCATTATTTTTCTCCATAGCTTAGCCCTATTTACAACCATTTCTGAGTTTTGTTATAAACTGTAAAGTGTCTTCTTTTGAGCTCCTCTTGAAGTTTGATTGAGGATACTTTTCTGCTTGAGGTCTCCTACATCCTTGTATGTTTCATCTCTCTTTTAGGGCTTATTTTGCATGATATCTTAGCCTTACTTGCAAGCATTTTCGAGATTTTCCATAAACTAGAAAAAGTCTTGTTTTGATCTTTGAAGCATGTTTGTTTAAGGACTCTTTTCTGTTTGGGGTGATGTTCCCCCTTCCATGCTTCATTTCCTCACGTTTTGAGCCTTGCATTTGACCATTTGCATTGGCCTTGGTTTGGCCTTTTAGCCACTGAAATCCAGTGGATTTTTAGTGGATTAGATGTGCTTTTGAGCTTCAAAATCAGAGAGGGGTGACCCTCTCACCCCTTGTTCTCTTTACTAGCATTGTTGGCTTTCCAAAGGGGCTCCATCTTGCATGTTGTGAAGTCACATTTCAGACCCTATTTTGTGAGTTTTAAGGTCTTCCTTGACTCTTTTCGGAGCCCCTTTGGCCGTATTTTATGTCTATGATACATGTATAGAACAATCTCACTCAAGGCCTTTCAAAGGGTTTTTCATTTGCATGCTTCCTAGGTTGATTTTGGGGCCTTTTTGGTGAGTTGTAGGGCTTTCATAACCTATTTCTAGAGGTGGTTTTGCCATCATTGATGCCCATCATGTATGTGTAGAGTAACCCTCTTATTGGCCTTTCAAAGGAGCCCATCATTTTTGCATGCATTGACTGAGTTTCAGTGGTTATTTGGGCATATTTTGACATGGCATACTTCTGTTTTTGGCTGGTTGGGTGAGCCCTCATATTCTTCATATAGTTGTAGAACAACTCATGGTTCACTAGCTTTCTTTGCATGCTTTGTTGGACCTTGATTTTAGCACATTTTGGCCATGTCTTAAACTGATAATGTGCTTATTTTGGACTGCCCTAGCTCTGTTTTTGGGTCTTGTGGTGCCTCGGTTTGCAAACCAGGTCCTGTTTTCTCTATTTTTTCTTCCCGAAGGGAGGGAGAGGTCTCGTAGACCATCTCTCAGTGGCCGTAGGCTACTCTTCGTGGTCGTAGACCATTTTTCCCTTTTGGAGACCAATTTTCGGTTTCGGGGCCGTCGGCCGTGCGCGTCGGTTCGGGACCGCTTAACTACCTCCGCTTGCTCTGATTTTTGGCACACACCTTGTTTCCTTTCTTTAGAGGGACACTGTGGCCCGGGAGACCACCTTCATG